TTAACTTTACACCCACCCCACACCCTAATTCAAAACACATCATTTAATTGTCTTGGTCATGGACATTTCCAAGATGAGATTTTATATTTCGTTCCCATAGCTTCTGGTTATCGGAAAACCTATGCTTTCCTTTATTGAAAGAGTTTGGTCCAGCTGATGTTGGTGTATCCCTGCATTGAAAGAAAGGAAATTTACTTAAAATGTTATAGGTATGTTTTAGACTTTGTTTTAAACTTATTACTACACATTTGTTTACCACCTATTATAAATACATGTTGAGAAGAAAAAGTCGCTACACAGATTTTTTTTTTCTTACAGATTTTCTTTTTTTTTTTGGCGGAACCAGGGATTGTACTCAGGCCCTTGGGAAGCGCTTTTTCTCCTGAGCCATCTCCCCAGCCCCCTACAGATTTTCAAAAGACCGTTTTCACAGAAATAGTTCTAAGACTTCAGACTCACCACAGCCAAGTGAAGTGGTGCTGCAGACTGAATCCAGGGCCTTTCCTCTGCTGGATAAGTGCTCTACCACTAAGCTTCATTTCCAGGTCAAATATGTAGTTTTATCGTTCCAGGAATTGAACTCAGAACCTTGAACTTGCCAGGCAGGTGCTGTGCTGCTGAGCTATCTTCCCACTCCAAATGTGTAGTTTTTACATACATATAAAGTAATCTTGGTATGTAGCCAAGAGTGGCGATCAGTACAGTTTCTAAAACCACTGCTTGAGGCCAGGATATAAAACCGAGCCCAGCATGCATAAGCCTTAACTTCAATCCCTAGTATCCAAACAAAAATGTCTGTTTTTTTAAAACAAATAAACAGATAAACCTGTTGCCTGAAACCCTATAGGGTCAAAAAATCAATTTGGTGGCTTGCCACCAGCATTTTTTAAATTTATGTATTTGGTACAGGGTCTCACTATGCATCTCAGACTTGTAAGTGATCCTCCTGTTTTCAGCCTCCACAGTGCTGGGATTACAGGTGTGTGTCACCATGGCATGTGGTGCTAGGGGTTGAACCACAGTCCCTGCACTTGCCTAAGCCGGTGCTTAATCCACTATCTCACTGGCTGGCCCACCACCAGCATTTGTAAAAAATGAAAGATATGATGATGATGTATTACACACAGAGGGTGTGACTACTTATGAATCTGTTTCAATTTTATGTTTAATTGTATATATTCTGGGTATGAAATTAGGTAACAATGTCACATGGGTTTCTTACCTTAGATCCCAGTATGGAAGAATGGCAAGAGGCAGCCACTGGGACAGCTTCTACATAAACTACAGACTGATACATACATGAATTCTGAAATTAGTCCTTTGTGGATTCATACATTTGGTAGAAGTGGAGAGGGACACAGACTGGGGCATAGTAAAGCACACCTACAATTCCAGCTACATGGGAAACCAAGGCAGGAGTATCATAAATCTTTGCTGCGGCCAAGGATATAGCTCAGCAGCATAATAACATCTCCTAGGCATGCACAAGGTTTTAGTTTGAGGGTCACCTGGGTCACCTGGTGAGATTCTCAATATTAACAATTAATAAGGGCTCAGTGGTATAGCACTTGCCTAACAAGGGTTTAATTCTCAGTATGACACACACAAAGAAAGCAGGAGTGGGGAGCACCATTAGGGGTAAGCTAACTCCCCTGGGGACTGAATCCAGGGCCTTCCCACTGACTTACATTCCTAGCCTATTTGAGAGAAGGACTTGCTAAGTTGTCTTGGTGGAACTTTAGCTTGTGATCCTCCTACTTCAACCCCCGAGTGCTGGGATTACAGGCATCAGCATTATGCCTTGGTTCAAACTGAACTTTCTTACATTTAGGTTATCCATTTATGCTCATGGAAACAGAGTATCTTATTAATGTTATTTTATGTTCATGAAGACTGCAGAAAAAGAAATTCAAATATTTTTCTCTTATTTTAGTATCTGGCAAGTAAGTTACATAGGGCTAAAGGTGATAAAAAATACTTTAGTAGGAATGTCATTTTAAATAACCAAAACCAATTTTTACTTACTTATTTATTATTTATAGTTTTGTTTAGTTTTGTTCTGACAGAACCGGGGATTGAACTCAGGCCCTTGCACTTGCCAGGAAAGCGCTCATTCTACTGAGCCATCTCCCCAGTTCCTTTTTATGTATTTAGTACAGGGTCTACAGGGTCTCACTACACAGATCGGACTTGGAGTGATTCTCCTGTTTTCAGCCTCCCAACTGCTGGGATTATAGGCGTGTGCCACTACAGCACACAGGGGAGGGAGGGAGATATCGAACCTCTGGTCCCTGCATCTGCCTAAGCAGGTAATTTAATCTGCTGAGCTATCTTGCTGGCCCCAAAGCCTATTTTTTTTCTATTACAGGAGAATAATTTTTAATTTAAATTTAAAATAAAATTTCTCCTATTTTTTATCTTCTTTGAAAAAATACAGAGGCTGGGGATACAGCTCATGGCAAGTGCAGGGTCCCGAGTTTGATTACTAGTACCAAAGAAAAAAATATAGGTTACAGAGTGGGGTATGGTGTCACATACCTATAATGCTAATACTAAGGAGGTTAAGGCAGGATAATCACCATGAGTTCAAAGCTAGCCTGTACTGCATAGTGAGATCCTGTCTCAAACTCCTCACCAAATATATATAGATTATATATACCAGAAAAGAGCCCTAAATTGTACTTAAAGATATCTTCTATCAGGACAAAAAGTACAGATCTCTAGAAGCTCACAGAATATTAGTTATCTTTATGATTGGTCTAGCTTTTATGTATCTTTAAAATCCAAATTAACCAGTTAGTTTACCAAAAATGCTGAAAATTGGTTTGCACAAATACTCAAAAAAAGCTTAAATATTAAAAACATTATGTGTAACCAGGCACAGAGGTGTATGCTTTCTAATTCCAATACTCAGGCAGCTAAGGCAGAAGTGCCCCAAATTCAAGGCCTGCCTAAACTACATAGTAAGACCCTGTCTCAAAAAGCAAAAACCCAAAATGACCCCCAACCTCCCCGAAACATTTTGTAAAATTAATTTTGTTCTTTATGGACACCTATCATTTCCTATATTTATGAAAAAGTATACTACCTTCCAATATTCTTCATCCTCATCTTTGCTTCTGGAGGCATTTCCTCTGGTTCACTCTGAAAGAAAATATTATATATTCAAATTAACTAAGTTCATTTAATTACTAATCACACTATACTTTTTCTCTTGTAGCATTTTTAATATTGTAAACCAGTAAAAATAAAAATGCATTGAATTATTTGTCTCAACTATAGTCTTTTTTTTCCCCCCAAACGAAGAACAGGAAATTAACAATGGTTGTTATATATACATGCCTATACCAGATATAGGCATGTAAAATTGATCAAAGATGTTATCAATAAAATTTTGAAAAAATAAAATAAAATAAAATTGATCAAAGAGTTAAACCATTAACTCTCCCTTTACATAAACCTTGAATTTTTTTTTTTTTTTTTTTTTTTGAACCGGGATTGAACTCAGGCCCTTGCGCTTGCCAGGGAAGCACTTATTCCACTGAGCCATCACCCTGGCCCCTAGAATATATTTTAAAAATAGGCATAAAGAATTATATACTTCTTATGTTTACACATAAGTCCAAAAATCTCACCATATATAACCCTGAAGCAGGACAGTCCCACAATATTCCTTTTCCTATCTCTTGCTTTCATTCACCACCCCCTAGTTTTTTAACAACCATCTACCCAAGATGCATCATAGCAGCAACAGGCATGTCATGCCAAGCAGCCCACATTCAGAAGACCAGAATGAGAGGCTCACCAAGCATGAAACTACTATTACAAATTACCATCTGCAGTGCAGTAG